TTTAATATGTTGTCTAGGTTTGTCATAGCTTTTCTTCCAAGGAGTAGGTGTCTTTTATTTTTTTTTTCCTTCTTTTGAATTTTAATTTATCATAAATTCTCAAATGTAAAACTTCCTGAACCAAGAGTAGGTGTCTTTTAATTTCATGGCTACAGTCACTGTCTGTACTGATTTTGGAGCCCAAGAAAATAAAGTCTGTCACTGTTTCCATTTTTTCCCCTCTCTATTTGCCATGAAGTGATGGGTTTGAATGCCATGATCTTATTTTTTTTAATGTTGAGTTTTAAGCCAGCTTTTTCACTCTCCTCTTTCACCTTCATCAAGAGGCTCTTTAATTCCTCTTTGCTTTCTGCAATAAGGGTGGTGTCATCTGTGTATCTGAGGTTATTGATGTTTCTCCCATCAGTCTTGATTCCAGCTTGAGCTTCATCCAGCCTGGCCTTTCGCATGATGTACTCTGCATATAAATTAAATAATCCCATTGTGGGGTGTAAATCTGCTGTTGATGCAGCTCGGAGGAGATTGCAGCTCTTCATTAGTTGCACAGCCTCTGAGGCTCAGCTGTGGTTTCAGCCCCACCTCTGCATGTGGGTCACCCTCTGGTCCCTGCTCCCAAGTCTGCCCCAGAGCACATCGGCCCACTCCGGCAGGGAGGGGCGTGAGAGCCTGTCCTGGCTGGAGCCCTTCCAGGTGTCTAGGAAGTTAGGGTTGCCCCCTGGGAGAAAGGCTCAATGGCGGCCCCACCCGTTGCACATCACTCAGCAATGGGGCTTCGCTTGTTTAGTGGTCCCGGCTTCCTCCATGAGCATTCTCGGTTGCAGAGCTCCTCACTCCCGCCACCTCAGGCTGGCTCCTGGCAGCCAACGGCAGTCCTCTCTCTTGGTCTGCTTTCCAAACCCCAAGTTCCAGCACCCAGCCCCTGTGCACACCAGCAGACACGTCTCAGGCTGGGGCGTGGGGGGCTGTGGCTGGACCGTCTGCGCAGGTTTGTCTGTCCTGCCTGCCACTTGCTGTGTTCTCCTCCGAGTTTCCGAAGCCCCCCTTATGCCCAGCTGATCTCCCTGCCAGTGAGGGGGCTTCCCCACATGCAGGAACCTCCTCTCCTTCAAGCTCCACCCTCAGGGGTGTAGGTCCCATCCCACTTCCTCTTCCTTTTCCCTTCTTTCTTTCTACCTGGTTATGTGGGGATGTGCTATCTTGCCTCTCATCTACGTGTCTTTCTGAATTTGAGTTTCGTCTGGATGTGCACCAAGCAGCGGGATTCTTGGATCAGATGGCAACTCTATTTTCAGCTTTTTGAGGCACCTCCATACTGTGTTCCATAGAGCTACACCAGCTTACATTCCCACCAATGTTGTAGGAGGGTTCCCTTTTCTGTACACCCTCTGTAGCATTTGTTATTTGTAGACCTTTAAACGATGGTCATTCTAACTGGTGTGAGGTGATACTTCATTATGCTTCTGACTTGCATTTCTCTAATAATTAGCGATGTGGAGCATCTTCTCCTGGGCCTGTTGGCCATCTGTCATACTTGAGACATTTCTTTTGTACTGGCTCTCTGTCCTGGCCACAGGCCCCCTCCTCTGTTCTTTAGGGCAGCAGTCCCCAGTCCTTTCGGCACCAGGGACCAGTTTTGTGGAAGCCAGTTTTTCCACGAACTGGTGTGTGTGGGGGATGGTTTTGGGATCATTCAAGCACATTAAATTTACAGTACACACTTTATTTCTATTATTATTACACTGTGATGTATAATGAGATGATTATACAACTCACCATAATGCAGAATCAGTGGGAGCCCTAAGCTTGTTTTCTTACAGCTAGACAGTCCCATCTGGGCATGGTGGGAAAAAAGTATATTGCTTATATCCAATCTACTCCATAATCTCATTTAGGTTGCTGTCACTGCAAAAAACCCTGCTTCATAAAGATGGGATGTTGGAAATGGAAGCAGGTTTTTCAGTGCTTTTGTGGAAACCTCAGGATGTTGCGCGTTGATTTGAATCCAGAAAGTGTGGAGATTTGAAATTGTCTGAAACATAACTTTTAAGGTCACCATTGTTTTCAGTCTAAGGCAGTTGATTCTCTTCTAGCACAAAGTCAATTTTCCTGGCTTATTCACAAATGGGTTGTGGATCCATTCCTTCTCAGTTCGGGGGTCTTTTGTGGTTGGGAAGTAATGCTCAGACTCTATTGAAAGCTGAGATAGGTGATCATGCAATAGCTGGAAGAAAGAAGGCCCTGGCTCAGTCTGTTTCAAAATCTCTGCTAATGTTTGAAATGTATCAAAAATCCCAGTGTTCACTCATTGCCTGCATAACCCCGGTTTGGCCTTGAGTGCAGCCACTTTATCTGCCAACTTGAACACAGTTGTCATTCTACCCTGAAATGACAGATTGAATTCATTGAGTAGGTTAAATACATCACTCAAAGTAGGCAAGTTTTGTGATCCATTCTGTATCACTGAAATGTGGTGACTTTTCCTAAAAGAAATGTCTGGAGTGGCTCTTGTAACTCTGGCCAGTGATCTTGTGTATAAGACATGTGTGCTTTGAGTCCATCTCCTCAGAGAGTTATGTGAACAGACATGAGTTGTGGGCAAGTACTTTAATGTGGCTGATAACTTAATCCCATCCAGCAGAACACTGCTAAGTTCAGGTGACTCTTTCAGATAGCCAGCATTTCCCTATGGATGATGCGGCGTGTAGACTTACATTCAGAAGCGAACTCTTTGACTTGAGTAGTGAAACCAGAAAGCCATCCAGCCATGGCAGCTACTGCATTCATGCATGTATTGACACAAAAAGACCAATTCAGTTTTCCTGATAGGTAATCATTCAAAGATTTGAAATGTTCTGCAACTGTGGTGTGGTTGGCAACAAAAGGGCACATAACATGTCCTCATACACATCCTCCTAACAAACAGATTGCGCAGACAAGCACTTTGCCTTGTTGTCCAATTCGATAGACTCACCAACCTGGACTACGGACCACGGTGAGTCATTTATCCTAACAGCTGTGTTGGGCTCTCCTGGTGGCTCAGATGGTAAAGAATCTGCCTGCAACATGGGAGACTTGGGTTCGATCCCTGGGTTGGGAAGAGTCCCCTGGAGGAGGGCATGGCAACCCACTCCAGTATTCTTGCCTGGAGAATCCCATGGACAGAGGAGCCTGGCGGGCTGCAGTCAGTGGGTTTGCAAAGAGGCAGACACGGCTGAGCAAGTAAGCACAGCACAACATCCTCTAGTAACGTTTTCATCAGTTTGTCTAGTTGTGGCGCTCTCTGAAAGAGGAGCATGTGCCACCATTTAAACTGCAGCCTCTCCTCTAGAAGTTCACAACAGTTGTCAGGCAGCTTCAGTTTTCACCAGTAGTGAAGGGCTTCTTAACTTCAGCTATAAGGTCAGCCACTACAAATGATGCTCTCAGTACAGGTCCATTTGATGAAGTGAGTGGTAGCCTTCAGTGATTGCTTCTGTTCTTCATGTTCGAGTTTTTTTCTTTGTTAAAATGCCAAAGGCTTGTCTGTCTGCCTGTCTGTCTGGACTCTTGGTTGCGCTGGATCTTCATTGTTGCACCCAGGCTTTCTCTAGTTGTGGTGAACAGGGGCTTCTCTTGTGGAACAGGGGCTCCAGGCACATGGGCTTCAGTAGTTGTGGCGCACGGGCTTAGCTGCTCTGAGGCATGTGGAATATTCCTGGACCAGGGATCAAACCTGTGTTCCCTGCATTGTCAGGTGGATTCCTACCCACTGTACCACCAGGGAAGTTCCAAAGGCTTGTCTTTTAATGCAGGGTGCTTGGTCTCCATGTGGTGAAGCAGTTTTGAAGGTTTTTTAGCTTTGTTGGATAGCTGGTCACCACATATTTACAAAGCAGACTTGGAAAATGTGAGTCACTTGTAATGAACCCGTAATTTAAGTTGACTCTTAGTATTTTCTTTTAAATGCAGCTTTCTTTTTTGTTGGCAGTCTTAAGCATCTTCTGCTGTCTCATCATTGGGTCTTCCCACCTTTTAAAGAAGCCCTCCAGCGACGTTTGTTTTCTACTCATTTTGGCTCGGGTTAGCTTGTGGGCTTATGAAAACTGAGACAGGTGCATAGCGTGGGAAAGAGGCCCAGACAGAAGTGGTCAATAAAATAATGGGCGAGCCACAGGCGGGCTGAAGTGTCAGATTCTGACTTAAAGCCTGCCACTAGATGCAGCTTAACTGTCGCTTGCCACTCACTGATAGGGTTCTGATATGAATCTGCAGTTGATTAGTAATGGTCTCTGTGTGGTCAGACCTCTCTGCTAATGATAGATGTGTATTTGCAGCCACTCCCCACCCTAGCTAGCCTCACTGCCTGGCTCCACCTCGGATTGTCAGCCATTAGATTCTTAGAAGGCGCGCACAGCCTAGATCCCTCGCATGCCCACTTCACAGAAGGGTTTGAGCTCCTATGAGAATCTAAGGCTGCCACTGACCTGACAGGAGGCAGAGCTCAGGCGGTAGTGCAAGCAGTGGGGAGCAGCTGTAAATACAGATGGATTTGAGTGAACACGTCACTCGCCTGCCAGCCTGCCACCCAGCTCCTGCCGTGCCGCCCGATTCCTAACAGGCCAGGGACCGGTACCGATCCATGGTCTGAGGGTTGGAGACCCTGGCTCTAGGAGAAAGAGGGATGTACAGTTTTCACTTTTGAACCTTCAAAGGCAAGACTAGGCCCAGCCAGCCTTCTCGTGCCTTTGGGCCGTGCTTCGCCTTGGTTGAGGAGGATCACTGGATGGAAGGGCATGTGCTTGTGTGACCCTGGGGCGTGAGCACCTGCAGAGATGGGTTCGAACAGTGTGAATTGCCTGGAATGCGGGCAGGGCTGCCTGTTGGTTCCCCTGGTCTTTCTGTCTGCCTTCCCCCAGCTCCCCCACAAAGGGGCGGTCAGGCTGGCCAGGAGCCCAGGCCTGCTTTCCCTGAGAGCTGGGCAGAGAGGCGGTCTGACTTTCCCGTCTTGCTTTCTGTTTCAGTGACATCCCGGAGACTGTGCCTTTGTCAACTGTCAATAGACAGTGTTCGTCGGGGCTCCAGGCGGTGGCCAGCATAGCTGGTGAGTTGTGACTGGGTGGGCACCCATGGCTGCCACCTGGCCTCAGTCCTGGTTCCATGGGCTCAGGTCAGCAGAGTCCTTGCCTGTGGGGCAAGCAGTAATTTTTGAGGACTGTACCCACAGAAAGCATGGAGGAGAGCCCCCCACTGCAGCCCCAGACTTTTCTGAGCACTCCTGGGTCTCCATCTCGGAGGCTGGGGCTGAGTCCCCCTTAGAGACTAGGTGGGGAAGAGGCTCCCCTGTTCCCAAGACAGATGGACTCCGGGGAAGGATGTTTATAAAATGCTTTTGTTGCAGGTGGCATCAGAAATGGGTCTTATGACATTGGCATGGCTTGTGGGTAAGAATTTCTTTCTGCCGGAGCTTATTAACCAACTCGTAACAATGAAACTAATGTTCCTCTCCTGAATTCTCAGAGGCTATGATTTCATGCTTCTCCCTGCAGCCCTTTCAGGCAGCTGGCTGCGAGGTGGTTCCTACAAATTCTGCTTAGAATCAGCCCCCAGCTCTGGCTGTTTGGGAACCGCGCACACCTCTCAGCACCAGAGGAAACTGGCTTTGAAGAGCTTTCTTTTCTTGGAAATCTGTCAGGCTGGAGATGTGGGCAAGCATTTTGAGAAAACACAGCACAGGGTTCCCGTCTGTGGCAACCCTTGTTGATTCGTGATGGTTGCTGAGAGTGGAAAAAGTAGTTTTGGTTCCCAAAAGCCCAGGACAGCTGCCTGCTCTAGAACTAGTTTGTTCATTTAACAGGCTGTCTGTCCCCCGCCCTGTCCAGGGTGGGAACTTGCGCTGCCTCCTGGGCTCTGAGGGACACGGTCAGGTCTGTGGTGGTTTGGCCCCTGTCAGCTGTGACTCCTCCTCAGCTGCAGCAGATGGAGCCCCCGTGTACTGGGCGGCACTCCAGGGAGGGGAGGCTGGGGTGGGCATCTGGTGCTGGGAGCGCAGGCCACTTCGGGGCTTCGGCAGGCTTGGGGGGCCGGCAGCCCCAGGATCCTGACCCGCTCCCTCTGCCTCTCACTTCCTCTTCAGAGCAGTTCTTAATCGGAGCCCTGCCAGGCCATCTCGGAGCTGTGCCAGTTGGCACTGGCTGTCCAGCCCCGTGTCAGCAATTGCAGATGAACCCAGAGACCACACCGCAGGGACTCTGGCCAGGCAAAGGCCACTGGCCAGGCTGCCCCCAAGCTTCTCGCTCTCTCACTGGAGGATGGGTGGGGGTGTGTCTGGACTGAGGAGGAGGTTGGAGCCTTCATGGGTTTCTGACGGGGAATCTGAGTCCTCAAGCAGGTGAAAGACCAAATTACAGGGTTTAAGGGTTTGGGCCAGGACAGTCCCCCATGTCACAGGCTGACTGTTCCCCAGACTTTGCTCATGACGAGTGACTCATGATATTGTAGGTGGCAGTGGGCTCTGGAGCCCGACTCCCTAAATTTGGTCCCCACTGACAAGTCAACTCGGCTTCTCAGCCTGGCATTGCTCACAGCGCTCTAATACTTGGGAGGAGTTTTCCAATAGTGCTGGGCGCGTGAAAAGTGTGCAGAGTTATGTGTTACCACCCTCTGAAGCCTTATATTCTGCCACCTCCTGGAAGCCCTCTGTGACCACACTAACCCACGAGCTCAGCCTTCCCCTCGGCTCCTGCACCTCCTCCTCCAAACAGGTTGGCTTGCTCTTTGACATGTGGCTATTAGAATATTATTGGTCTTGTCTCTCTTCCAGATTTGTGGACCCTGAGGGCAGGGCCTGGGCTTGTTAGAATGTTTGCCCTACTGTGGCCAACACTAGGCCGCTTTCCTTGGGCTGGCTGAAGGAGCAGTTGTCTTAGGAGAGTGAGGCCCTGCCCGGGGGTGTGGGCTCAGCAGCCCTGCACCCCCAGCTCTGTCTGGCCAGCCCGGGGCTCCCTGGCTATTTCCCAGCACTTGCCGGCACCGAGCTGTCTGTGGGGAGCCTGCTAATCACCTCCTCCTCCTCAGGGTGGAGTCCATGTCCCTGGCTGACAGAGGGAACCCTGGAAATATTACTTCACGCGTGGTGGAGAATGAGAAGGCCAGAGACTGCCTGATTCCTATGGGGTGAGTACCTGCCTCAACTCCCTGCCTGGCCCGGAGCAGGCTTGGATCAGGAGCTTGGATCCCCTTGTGGCCCCCCGCCTCAGGCCTGGCTTGCTCTGCAGGGCCTCTGGGGCTGGGACTTCCTGAGGCCCCCAGTGCACTCTGCGCCCCTGGGTTTCCAAGCATGGCCCAGCCTATCACTCCCACCCTAAGGGGCTCAGTCACACAAGGCCTGATGGCAGCTGCACCCCAAAACCTTGGCCTCAAAAGTCGGGGAAGCGGGAGGCATTTGCCCACCGGCCATGCCGGTGAGGGCATTGGGCCCCGGACAGTGCGGCCTCAAAGGCGCCACCGTCGCAGAGCCGCTGAGCACTGCAGCCAGGACCACCCCGGGGCCGTGGGCAGGGAGTCCTGGCTCCGCAGGGCATGTGAGGGGACGCGCGGCTGCCTCCACAACAGGGACCATCTCTGAGGGAAGCCTGGGCCAAAGGCCCCGCTGGGGCTCTGGGATGTGGGGAGGCTGCAGCTCCAGGGAGCAGAAAGCTGGGTGTGGCCTTCCCACGGGGACCCGGGAGTCCTCGTCTCCTCACAGGAAAGCAGTTTCCCTTGAGGCGCAGAAGCTGGCCAGGCCGGGCGGCGCCCCACCCATGCCCTCCTGGGTGCTGGTCTCTGGTGGACGCGCGTGGAGTCCCAGCTACGGCGCCTCCTGCCTGTACTCCTGGCTGCACTGGGACACAGGTCTCCCCGCCACGTCTGCAGCCCCGGGCCGCACACAGACTCGGCGTTCCCCGCCCGTGTTCTAGGATAACCTCAGAGAACGTGGCTAAGCGGTTTGGCATTTCGCGGGAGAAGCAGGATACCTTTGCACTGGCTTCCCAGCAAAAGTGAGTACTGTCTGGGGTGAGATGTTGAAAGGTCTGGAGTGTGAGCTTTTGAGGCTGTTCTAAGTGGGCTTCCCAGGTGGTGCTAGTGGTAAAGGACCTGCCTGCCAATGCAGGAGACATAAGAGACACGGCTTCAATCCCTGGGTCAGGAAGATCCCCTGGAGGAGGAAGTGGCAACCCACTTCAGTATTCTTGCCTAGAGAATCCTATGGACAGAGGTGCATGGCAGGCTGCAGTCCATGGGCTTGCAGAGTCAGACATAACTAGAGCCATTTAGCACATAAGTGGTGTCAGATGGAGCCGCCCTAGGCTACTGCTGGGCAGCAAGTAGTTCCCAGCCTCTCCCTCCCAGGAGGGGAGGTGGACCAGGGATGGCGCCACTGCACACACAGCACCACATCCCGTTATGGCCTGCTTACTGAGTGTCTTTCCCCCTGGTGAACGGGCTGTGGAGGGAGTGGTCTCCAGCCAGGTGGGCCTCTCTGAGGCGGTGGTTCTTAGCCACTTGGGTTCAAGCTCTGATCAGTCAGGTAAAAGCTGTGGCTTCTTCCCCTGAGAATGCCCCTGGGCCTTTGCATATGATTGCAACAATCATCCTAAAATGCCGTATGCTTTTACACTGTTTAAATACTAAGGTTTATCCAGTAGTTTAGTGTATGTCATTTTTATTATTTTTAAAATATTTCTTTGGCTGTGCTGGGTTTCAGTTGTGGTATGTGGGATGTACTGACCAGGGATCGAACCTGGGCCCCCTGCAACCTGGGTCCCCTGGGACCACAGAGTTGTAGCAGCTGGACCACAGGGAAGTCCCGATGTCATTATAAATATGTCGAAACACAGGAAACAGATGGGATTGGGCTGGTGGGAGGGAACGGAAAAGTCGACAGAAGCCAGCACGAATATTCCGGGGGCTCCAGCCTCAGGTTGGCTTAATCCCTTTTGGGTGAAGGGCTCAGAGGGGAGCCCCCTGCTCAAACCTCCCCCTTGAGGATCTGATAAGGCTGATGACCAGAAAGGCCCTGTGAGGCCCTGGGCTCCCACTCCCCGGGCAGGAGGGGGACCCACAGCAGGCCCTCTGCATACTCCCCTGCGGCAAGTGTGTCCCCGCATGTAGCAGCCTGAGCTTGCACATCTGTCCCAAAAGGCAGGGGGCGGGAGCCTCAGGGAGGGACCCCAGGAAGGAAGGTAACCCCATGGGAGCCTGAGCCTGGCTGTCCACGGTGCTGGCAGGGCAGCCAGAGCCCAGAGCCAGGGCTGTTTCCAGGCTGAGATCGTGCCTGTCACCACCACGATCCGTGACGACAAGGGCACAGAGCAAAGCGTCACCGTGGCCCAGGACGAGGGCATCCGCCCCGGCACCACCATGGAGGGCCTGGCCAAGCTGAAGCCCGCCTTTAAGAACGGGGGCTCTACCACAGCTGGTGAGACGGGGCTGGGGGTGGCGGAGGAAGGGGCTGCTCTAGCTGGATGTTCTCCCCTGGGTGCTGGGCCACCAGGCAGGTGGATGGGGAAGGTGTGGACCACCTCAGCGTGGCCCCCAGGCCCCCCCAACCCTCTGCTTTGCCTCCAGGAAACTCGAGCCAGGTGAGTGATGGGGCTGCTGCCATCCTGCTGGCCAGGAGGTCCAAGGCAGAAGAGTTGGGCCTTCCCATCCTGGGGGTCCTGAGGTCCTATGCGGTGGTCGGGGTCCCGCCTGACATCATGGGCATTGGCCCTGCCTACGCCATCCCGGTCGCTTTGCAGAAAGCAGGTGAGATGGCTCCTTCACCCCCGAGATTCAGACCCAGTTCCTGCTGCTCATGCTGCTGCCTGAGGCAGGTGGGGGACAGGAGCCTGGGGTGGGCCTGCGGGTGCTGCAGAGTGCACCCCGACCCCCAGCCGGGCTCCACGCACCCATCTTGAACAAAGGCAGCCCCAGCAGGCAGCCTACAGGCCATGGATGGGGCAGGGCCCTAGGGAGACTGAGGATCCCATGAAGGGGGCCGCTGGCTCAGCTCAGGTCTTTCCCCCGGGCCTGCAGGGCTGACGGTGGATGACGTGGACATCTTTGAGATCAACGAGGCCTTTGCCAGTCAGGTGAGCCTTTGTTTTGCAGCGTGGCCTAGGGTCCCCAGTTGGAGCCAGGGGGCTAGGAGCAAAGGGGATCAGAGAGGGGTCCACAGCTGATGCTCCACCTCCCCCCAGGCTGTGTACTGTGTGGAGAAGCTGAAACTGCCCCCTGAGAAGGTGAACCCTCTGGGGGGTGCAGTGGCCTTGGGCCACCCGCTGGGCTGCACGGGGGCTCGACAGGTCATCACGCTGCTCAACGAGCTGAAGCGTCGCGGGAAGAGGTGAGGCTGGCCCTGTGGGGATGTTGGGGGAGGTGTACGTACCCCCGCAGGCATCTGTCACCTGGGGGGCAGGCTGGGGCCCACATGCCCTGAGGTCTGGCGTCCTCTGGGCCCACAAAGGCCCTGGTGCACCCAGCTCAGCCCTCCTGTCGCGAGCTTGGTGGCCGTGCCTCCCCCCCACCATATGTCTCCTTCCCCAGGGCCTATGGGGTGGTGTCCATGTGCATTGGCACTGGCATGGGAGCCGCCGCTGTCTTTGAATACCCTGGAAACTGAAGCGGCCCACATCGGAGGTGCCGCACGGGAGGGATGGTGAGTCAAGACCCCCTGAGCTGATGTGAACACACAACGTGAACAGCTGCCCCAGCACAGGAGCGGGAGAGGAGGCAGGCTCCTCCGGCTAAGACACAGAAAGCTGGCCTGGGTCACCCAGCCCACAAGGCCACCGCATGATCCCCGGGGAAGGCGCTGTGGATGAGGAGTGCAGCAGACACAGTAAACATGCGGTCTTAACCACGCTGCCTGTGGTTCTTCCGCAGGGCCAGTTCTCACTAGGCTGGTCCCGCCTCTGCTCCACCTGAACACTAACTGCCCTGGTCTCCACCCCAGGAGCTGTTCGGAGGCCCCCCAGCAGAGGCCCATGCCCAGTAAACCACTCCCGAGCTCTGGGCTGTGTTTATTTCCAGGACTGGGGGCTGAGGGCAGAGCCTCAGAGCCGGTGCTGGGGGGAAGCGTATCTCTCGTCGTACGAGCCGCGGCCCCGGAGCCGCAGGGCGCACGGCTTCTCTCCGAGCACGCCCTCCACCACCAGCGTGGACTCGTACAGGTCACAGCTCCTGTGGGAGGCCGGGGCTCACATCAGGAGGGGCCCTAGGCCCAGGGCTCTGGGGGGCAGCGCCAGCCAGGCAGCGGGGGCCCATACCTGGCGGTGAAGGAAACATGGAGGGTGACGGAGGTGGGGGGCGCATTGACTGGTCGTGCCTCCAGCAGCCCACTGCTTGGGGAGACCCTGAAGGCCACGGGGTCCCTGTCTGGCTCCTGCTGGCCTGCAGGATGGGGAGGACTCGCAGGCGGCTCCACACACTGCCTGCGGCACTGACCCCCACCTCCTGGTGCCTCTGCTCCCGCCCACCACCCTGGGGGGGATCCCCCTGGGGGACCACTTTGGATGGGGGAAGTGGCTGTCAGCACAGCAATTCCCAGGTGGTCCGGCCCATCAGCACAGGGCCACAGGCCCCTTCCCGGGGGTCTCAGTCTAGCGGAGTTGGGGAGGAGGGCCTAACACACCTGTCAGCACGGCCCAGTAGCTTCGGCAGCCACTCAGGTTCATGAGGTAAACCTCCCGGGCCCGGGCCTGGTTCACGAAGCAGGTGCCGAAGTCCACCCAGCTGGTGGAGAGCTGCAGCTCGGGCACGGCCACCACGGCCCGCAGGGGCACCACCTGGGGACAGAGCCGGCCACCCGGGGGAGCAGCAGGGACACGGGACCCTGGACCCTGCCTGCCCCCCGCGCAGCAGCTTCTGAGGAGCCCACAGGCTGCGCCGCCGCTGGAGGGAGGGGGTTCCAGCAGCAAAGGGCCCAGGGAGGCGCTGGCTGCTCCCTTCTCCCTGATCCAGTGCTGTGGTTTCCGCCCCCTCATCCAGCCCTCTGCTCCCCTTGGGCTCCGGGCCTCTCCCCTCAGAAGCTCGTGGGGCTGGGGTGTGGAGCTTGTCACAGCCCACAGAACAGGGCCCATGGCTTTCTCACCTGGTACACACACAGTCCCAGACAAGCCCCAGAGGCGTCCCTCAGCTGCTCACTGTCGGCATCGTCAGGCCATTCCCTGGCCCCTGTCTTTCTCCATTAAGCAATGTGCAGGCTTCACATGCCACCTCCTCCAGGAAGCCTTCCCTGGTTTCCACCCTCCAGCACCCCACCTGGCTCTGAGCTCCTGAGGCCGATAAGGAGGGAGATGACGCCATCTCTCCACGTGCCAGATGATGGGGGTCAGTCCTCCGCTGACTCCCCTGAGCGGAGCTCAGCCCAGTGCCCCGTCTGCCGTGTGAGCCAGGCTGGGGACTCACCTGGGAGGTCTGGTTGCTGTATGCCAGCAGCAGGTTCTGTGTGAACACCATCTGCTTCTCTCCGCTCGGGCTCTGCTCAATGTCCACCCCGGGCAGCATCTGGTCAGCCGGGAGCTTCTGATAGGAGAGCAGCTCCAGGGAGAGCGAGAAGGACACGTTCACCTGAGCAGATTGTGTGCGAGCCGTCACCTCAGGCTGCTGGAGGCGGGCCTCCCTGGGGCTCCGTCCTTCCCTCCCACAGACCCTGCAGGCCCAGCCCGGCCCCCGCTCAGCCTGTGACCCAGCATGGTCTGCAGGCCCTGCTCCATGCCCAGCAGCCCTCAGGAGCGGAGGGGCCCGGGGAGTGAAGCTGTCCTCCCCTCGGGTGACCGGGGCCGTGTGCAAGCCCGCAGGCGCAGGGCAGGCCTGTGTCTGTCCTGAGGGCAGTGCGGAGCCCCAGCTGAGTTTCAAGCATGGGACATGGACTCAGCTCAGCCTTGCTCGGGTCACCCTGGTGGCTGCGGGGAGAGGGCTGAGGTATCACTGAGGCCTCACGCGAGGGGCCTTGGACACGTGGCTCCCAGACCCAGGTCTGTGGGCCCAGCTCCACAAGCTTACCCAAGGGACCTGTTAGGAATACAGATTCCTAGGCCCCATCCCTGGCCGCCTCATCTCTGGAGGTGGGGCCTGGGAACAGTGTGCCTTATGTTTATGGAAAGACGGTGGTGAAACCCTGCAAGAGGGCAGGTGAGCGGGGAGAGTCTGCGCCACGGGGAGCTGCTCTCAGGACCAGGACGTGGGCAGAGGGGATGAAAGGCAGACTGGTGTGTCCAGGGCTCCGGAGGGTGGGCTCTGATCTACGTGTGGAGACCCCTGCGTAGAAGGTGTGCTGGGCGGTGTGTGTGGGAGAGTGAGCAAGTGTGTGTGTGTGTGAGTGTGCATGTGTGGGGGACAGTGGGGGGGTGTGGGACA